AGCAGAAGAAAGGCCTGTTTGGGTGAAAAGGGAAAGTTAATCTCACCCCACCCCACCAGGGATTCCAGAAATCCTGAAAGGGTGCAGTGGAATTCAGGTGTTTGTGGATGACAAAGATATCAAGATCCTGGTTATTAGAGGCAACATCTGATAAACTTTATGAAAACGTGAATTATAATTCCTTCCCTTTTTGCTTCAGTTTTTTTTTTTTTTTTTTTTTTTTTGCTGCTGTTCTCTTGAAGCCGGAATCTCCCAGATCTCTGCCCCAATAGCAAGAGGGTTGGGAGGGCTTTGGTCACCTCCATCTCCCAGAAGCTCAAAGGTGGTCCATGGCATTGCCCTTCACCAATCCCCACATTACTTCGACCAGCACCAGACTTGCTGGGGAACATACAGAAAGTACATACATGGAGAAGGACCAGTGCAGTGGAGGGGAGGCTCAGGTGTGAGTCAGTGTTGTCAGCAGCAGGGTGTCTGCTGTGGGGCTGCTGAGGGGAAGAAGCTTTGCGCCAACTGCCCTCTGTTTAAGGAGCCCTACAGCTGCTGTTTAGGGCAGCAAAGTATCCTCAGTCCCTGCCACTACCCTGTGTTGTTTCCATTTCATCTTAATTTCCAGAGGTCAACATGGCTGTGAATATGTTCAATGCCAGTATATTTATTTCTCCAACCCCAGAAGAATGGAGAAGGAGGTGGGGGAGCCCTCCTCCCCAAATTCTTGCAAAGGTATTCAACAGTGCAATCTTTGGTGATGATGAATGAAGGGGTTTCTAGCTCATCCTTCCCAGCACATTCTTGGTCTCAGAAATAACGGCCATATATTCTCCTTAGCACAAAGTTATTTGCTAAATGCATCATATATTTGTAATATCTTGCATTTACTGACTAATGGCCAAAACTAAGGTCACATGGAATGAGATAGTGAGGAATTCTTTAAGGTAATAATTCAGCTGCAAAAGCTAAAGCCAAGGGCTTCAAATGGGCAGAGAGGAGAAAAGAGACAGGGGGAAGGAGAGAGGAGAGGCAAGAGAGGAAGGGGAAGTGATATAAAGAGAGACAGAAAAAGGGAGAGACAGCAAAAGACAGACAGACAGAAAGAGCAGGCAGGAAGAGAGTGGAGAGGCATATACAGATGAAAAAAAGATGGGAGAGACACAGGAGAACAAGGGACAAAGAGAGAGAGGGAAATACAGAGGGGAGGAGGAAAAAGACAGATAGAGGATAGAGAGACTGACCAAGACAGATAAAAAGTTAGCGACAGAGAGAGGGACATTATTTAGGAGCTTCTAGACCACCCCCTCCACCACCTGACAACATTATGGGGAGAAATGATAGTAGAGATGGGGCCCACCTTCCTCACCACCACCACAACCAACTACTGATAAGTTGCCACAAACATATATCTAAACAAAGGAGACCTGGTAGTGGTAGCAGCCTCCCAGACCTCCTGTTCAGCTTCAAGACCAACCATCAGGGTCAACATCTAGGGAAACAACTCTCATGGAAAGTGGTTCAGCTATCTCCACTTTATGATACCCACAGGACAAATAAACCTGCCCAGATGAAAGAGCAAGACCCCCTGTGGTTAGAGAGGAGTTGCCATATTCCCAGTGGGTCAGGCCACTATGTTGACCATCTCCCCATAGACCCTTATAGAGACAGCCCAGACACTGAGGCCCAGGATCTCCAAAGATCATGGTCAGGAAGGTACCCTTGTAGAGATGCAGCCTTGCCGCAGGCTCCTGGGGCTCCAGACACAGCTGCTGATGATCCAATAGAGTTCTGACCCCCAAACTCTTCGTTACTGTTCAATGGGTCAACCTCAGAAACATAAGTGATTATACCAGAAGAAATGGCAATAAAGAAGAGGCTGACATCTGCTTTGCTGCTATACCCCAAGGGACCACAGGACCTCTTCATTTCAATAAACTGACTGAAATTTTGGGGACTCTAGTTAATCAGTTCGCTGGCATTTCCTGTGCTATATCTCCTGATCCAGTCCTGGTGTTCTGAAAGTACCCCTGCTCCTACTTCTGGTTTCCTATTCATTTCTGACTCACTAATTTTACCAACACCGACTGCCATCAAAGGGAAGCCAGCTTCACTGAAGCAGCAAGGTATCTTGAAGGAAAGACAGGAAGTAGCATGTTCTAGGTAGGCCAAACCATAGCTACTTGCTTGACCACTACCTCCTCTTAGAGCTTTATGTAGACAGCCCAGCCCTAAGTGGAAATACTAGCCTTGCTTTTTTTTTTCCACTGGAGGCAATATTGTCCTAAGTGTTGAATCTGCAGTGAAAATTTAAGAGCTTTGAACACATGGACAGTCTTTCCTCTCTATCTGTATCACCAGTGCTTGGCACAGAGATCTGAACACAGAATTTTTCAGTAGATGCTTCATTTATTCATTCCTTGTTTCCATAAAGACACACAGTGATACTCTGAGACCTTTCAATCACTTCATTTGATGATCATATAAAGGGGGACCCTAAGACAGAGCTGTAGAATGATGAGCGATAATATCCTTGACTTATCTCAGCATGTGTCCCAAGGCTGACCATGGCTGGGGATCTCTTCCCCTTGAAGTCTGGCACCCGAGCGCAGCTCGGCCTCACCACACGGACAACTACCAGGAGCCTGTGGAAGGGGGCCTATCTTCTGAACAGGTAGTGAGCACTGAGCTGCCCCAAAGGGATGGCTGCTAAAGTCCTCTTCACTGCCTCCTCCTGGAAATCCTCTTTGCCCACTGGTTGGACCAAACACAGAATCTGGGTACTGCAGCATCCTTTCACAGGGTCACCTGGGCACTCATCTGTAGGTGGATCTCAGGCATTCTGGTCTATGACCAATATCCATAAAGTCTGGGGTGGCTCTGGACTGGGAAGGAAGCCTTGAAGATAAACCACCATGAGCAGGAAGCTGTGTAACATTTAAGTATCATGAAACACAACAGAGGGAGAAAGATTTTCATCCAGGAGATCTGATGTAGAATAATTTTCAGATCTCATTCTGAAATAAGTATGCCCTCCCTACAGACTCAGGTTTCCCAGGGTCATGATGATGTCGATGGAATATTGGTGTTCGTGGAGAGTTTGAACCCTGACTTCTGGCCTTGTCTGTGTCTAGCCTGGGCTCCAGCCTCCTCTCTGGATCTCCCTCAGTAATTGTGACCTGACCCTTACCCATCAACAGGCCTGACCTGCTAACAATCTGTGACATCACTGACAATGATGTCAGCCTGAAGGAAGGGGCTTTTTAAATTTCATTGATTGATGGACATTTGCTCCCTAAAAATAAAGGCAGCACAATGAGGATTTTTAAGAAAATGACTTAAATAAAAGGGAAAAAGGAACATGTTTTAAGTGTGAAAATATTTCACTGAATCTGCCCCATGATATGGAGATCACTGTTATCCCCACTCCCCACTAAGAGGCTTTGGGGTACAGTTTCTTTCCCCAGAGGAGCCTGCTCTTCTTGCCAGGTTTCTCTTCTGGTTTTCCACAAAATTCACATGTAATGGGTATTCTAAGGAAGTGCTGAGCTCAGCTACTTCATTGGCCCAGTTCTCTCCCTCTGAGTTTATCAATACACACCCTATTCCTCAGAAGTCCAGAGCGGGTCCAATTCCAGGGCTATTGTTTCCAGGGTGTAGTTTGTCTCCTTCTCATCTGACTCCCTAGGTGACCAGAAGTTCCCTTCCCAGAAGGAAAAAGTGTTTAAAGTCCCCTCCAACCACCCCCCAAGGTACAAGTGTACAGGCCTTAGAACAGTTGGGGGGGTGGTGTTGAGGGGGGGGATGTGAGGATTGGGCTGAAGGATGTTGTGGATGGAGGAAGAAGCAAGGTCATTCCCTGACTTCATTTTTTCACCCAAGTACCACTTTCTAGAAACAGGATATTTCCTGTATCACAGGAATCCCCCCGGGATATTAGTTCCTTCTTCAACTTTCACATAGAATCCCTTTGCACCCTGCCTAGATCACATATGTACCTAGCTTTTTTTTTTTTAAACAGGTTGCCTCATCCTTTAGAGTGTGAGCTCCCTGAGGGCAGTGACCAAGCTTTTCTGCCTTCTACGGGCTGCTCAGCCCCTAGCACAGGGACTGCCATAAGATGTTACCCAAGTAAATGCAAGTGGACTCAATGTTTACAGGATATGGCACCTCAGAGTCCAGGATCAGCCATACTGAGGATAAGGGTAGTGGGGGAAGATGGGACAAGATACATTCAGGCTTTTCTCATCCTCACTGCCTCTATTCTCCCTGATTCTTCTGACCTCCTGACCTTGAGCCCCCACAACCCCAAATCAACACATCTGTGGGCCTCCTCTAGCACCTCTGAGCTGAGCAGCCTCCCCCTCACTCCTGCCACCCCACTGACCTCCACCTAAAGACAGCTCCCACTACTCACTATCTCCCTCCCATTTGTTCAAAATGCTACCCCACCACAGACTCCACAGATCCTTAAATAAGGGGGTGGAGATGGGTAGTAGAGGATAACAGTGACCACAAGACTATATTCCCAATGGATTTGCTAAAAAATAAACAGAAAATAGGCAAAAAAGAAAGGATTTGTGTTTAGGCATTTCAGGATAAACTAGGGTCTAAGTGAAACCTGACTTGAACATCTCTGTTCCTAAAGGGATGGGATGGCAATGTTATTTGGTTGTCCTCCAAGATACAGGGGACCAAATTCAAGATTGGGCCAGGTGAACAATAACAAAGGAATTTAACATAAACCCAATGCAGACAAGGGTCTATCTAGTGTAAGCAGGTCTCACCTGTGTGGAGCCAGGGTATGAGGAAGAGGAGCAGGAGGAGGAGAAGGATGAGGAAGAGGAAGGTGCAGGGGGGTGGGAGATTTTAGGCAGGTCTGATCAGGCTCCTCTCTTGGAAGAAACCACTTGGAGCCACTTCATTTGTGGCCCTCAGCATTAAGGATTATTTTAGAGGCAGATCTTACCTTAAATAATAAAGACACAAACACACAATCTCTGAGCCCTTTCCATTTATTTGATGAGAATAATGGGAGGTCTATTACAGAGATATAGGATGATAATCCATGGAGAAGGACAGGTGATTTGTCTCAGCAAGTGTCCCAAGGATGATGGCTGAGGTTTTCATCTCCTCTACTCCTAGCATTTGGGGGCAGCTCCAGATCACCAGTGTGACAGATGCCAGTAACCTCAGGACCAGGGCCTCTTCTTGGAAGGGGTGGTGAGCACAGAGCTGCCCCAAACAGATGTTTGCTGGAGACCTCTTCATGGGCACCTGGGGGAAAGCATGTTCACCCACTGGTGTGACCAGCCACAAAGTCCTTTCTGAAGATCTGATGAGACTAGACCTCACTCCAAGGGAAGACCATGTGGAGCCCTCTTCATGGGCTTCTTGAGGACCCACGTGTGGCCACTGGTTGACCAAGCCAACAGTCTGGGGACAGGAACCACCTTGCAAAGGATCAGCCTGGAAATCACCTGGAGGAGAAAGTCTTCTAACAATAATTCTGGCTTGCTGGACTGGGAAACAACCCACCAAGATGGACCAGGGGGATCAAGAAGCTGTGCCCAAATCTTTGATTGAGAACCTCAGTGTACTTATTCCCCCTCAACCCTTCCAGTATTTGTTATTTCTCATAGATGTGAGGTGGTACCTCAGAGTTTTTTTTATTTTCATTTCTCTAAAAATTAGTTATTTAGAACATTCTTTCACATGATTATATATAGCTTTGATTTCTTCTTCTGAGTGCTCCCAGTTCATATCCCTTGACTACTGATCAATTGGGGAATAGCTCTTATTTGTATAATTTTTACTAGGTTACTGATATATTTGTGATAGAAGAGATTTATCAGAGAAACTTACTGTAAAAAAATTTTATATTACTTTATTATGTGTTATATCTTTTAGTAAAATTGTAGTTTCCCTGATTATGTCTTTTAATTATGTTTATTTTTGCTTGGTCTGACATCACTGTCTTTTTCCTTCATCTGAAATATAACAGGTTCTGCTCCAGTCCCTTATTTTAACACTGGGTGTGTGTCTTTCTGTGTCAGCTGTGTTTCTTGTAAACAATATGTTGTTGGATTTTGGTTTCTAATCCATCCTATTATTTACTTCTGTTTTATGGGTGAGCTCACCCCTTTCAAATTTGTAGTTATGATTACTCATTGCGTATTTCCCTCCATCTCATTTACTTGTTTCTTCTCTCTCTCTCTCTCTCTCTCTCTCTCTCTCTCTCTCTCTCTCTCTCTCTCTCTCTCTCTCTCTCTCTCTCCTCCCTTCTCAAAGGTCTATGTTGCTTCTAACCACTGCCTCCCTTAAACTTCTCTTCCTCTTGTCAGTCTCTACCCCCTTTCTCTTATCTCTTTCTCCTCTTAATCCTTATTGGATAAGATACTTTCTACATACATTTGAGTATATATTCTTCCCTCTTTGAACCAAACCTAATGAGAGTGAGGTTGAAGCATAGCCCACTAACTCCCCTCCCATTTCAGGTAGTCCAGTAACTCTTAAATTATCTTTCCTCTATCTATTTTCCAGGCCAATTTTTTTTTCTGATGAGATTTTTCATATTTTCTTCTATTTTTTCATTCTTTTCATTTTGTTTCATTGCATGAAGCAAGCCATCCTCCACTGAAAGAGGCTGTTGATGGAAGGGCCAGTGTTGGGAAGCCACACCTGTCCATCGCCATCTAGAGCCCTACATCTGACAGTGCTGTAAGTTATGGAGACTATTGAGTTAATGGCAGTGGGTGTAATGGGGAGGAAGAAGGGAAATAACTCAGTGGTAGTAACTATTCATTTGTATTAACTGTATATGAGCTGGTACCCAGCAGGATGCCATGCACCAACCTCCCTGCCAGTGCTGCCATGCCCTAGCCCTGCTGGAGGGAACCCTGAGTGTCTGCTCCATTCTGACCTCAAGACTCCCAACTCTGCAGGGCAGGCTCTCTGATGTGTTCTGGGGAGTCCTGGGCCTTGTCCTTTGCCCTGCCACTGGCACCCTTAGTGGCTCAGGCCTTTCTATGCACCCTGCAGGTGACTCTTCCTGTGGTCATTGTTGTCCCAAATTAGAGTGAGAGGTCCCTGAGAGCACAGACTCTATCTATTCGTGATGGTAGGTTTTAGCAGGGTTCCTGACAAATGCTAAGCACTTAACCTGTGCTTTTCATTCATTTATTCATTTACTTTAAAAAAAAAACTACTTGTGCTTTGAGCCTTGTCAGTCTGTGTGCTTGTCAAGAAAGCTTCCAATGCTGGTGGAGGTGGGAGTGGATTGTCAAATACTGAAGTTCTCATATTATCTGGAGGTGTAGCTTTGGGCAGAGAGAGAATTGGTCAAAGACATGAAAGGTCTTTGACAGTATCTTTATCCTTTATTATAAGAGGGAGCCACTGAACAAGAGTCAACCTCCTATGTCGTCTTTTGGTGACAGAGTAAACCCATTAGAGATTCAACTTTCTAGAAGATACTGGGACTAAGTCCTCAGCTGCATGGCAGATCAATAGAGTGAGGTCTCCTAGAAGATAGAGTTCTGGGTGACTGAGACAATGTATGTAGCTCTTTCACTGTGAGTGTGTGTGTGTGTGTGTGTGTGTCTGTGTGTGTGTCTGTGTGTGTATGTTTGAGTAAATGGGAGGGTGTGTGAGAATGGGTGACTTTCTCCTACATACAGAACAGTAGGGAAGTGGGAGAAATGAATCCAGTACAGACAGTTCCCTCCTTTTTTCTCTTTCCTACAATACTTTTATCCCTCTTCCTCAGAACCTCAACATATTTCACCTGTTTTTCTGAGAGCAGTGATTGTTTCCTTTTTATCTTTGGATTCCTAGCACCCAGAGCACAGTATGGCATATGGTAGGCTTTTAATAAATATTTTTTGACCAATTTAGTGTCATTGAATATTATGTAACAGTCTTTTGTTTCCCCCTCATGGTAAAAAAAAAAAAAAGATATTGAAGAATATTATGTCCTGGTCTTTTTTGACATCTAGTGGTCAATATCGACACTGCAGAATTTAGGCAAACTGCATTTTAAGGAAACTTTTATGCCAGAGAGGAATACATTATACAATAGAGATCCTGTCTTGTGGCTAAAGTAGATATTACGCTTTTATTCTGTCATCATGTGTTGAAGTCTGCAACTCATTTTCAAACGTATTTTTTATTGAATTTTAGCCAGTGTTATAGTTTATTCCTGGTTAAGCAGGCAGAATGGAACTAAATAAAATCCTAAATTTATGAAATATAGAGTCCTGAATTCTTTCAGGATCAATATGAATTAAGACCAAATCATCAGCATCAAAATTATATATTAAACTTTCCATCATATCAAAAATCACCTGATACAGGATAAGCCTTCATAGAAGTGGTGACAGCATTCAGCTAATTTTCCCCTCTATTGTGTTTACATGGATAAATGTTACCCAACCAAAAATTGTGAGGACATAAATGCAAAAAAAAAGACTGATCTTTGTTTTGAAGGAAATTTATGAAATAAACAGCAAGTTTGACAGAGACTTGACCAGTGTGAAATCAGACATTCAGGTAAATATTTGTCCAGTTGCCCAGGCCTTCTTGTTGTTCAGTCACTGAGTAATGCCTAACTTAAGATGATGTCATGGACTTTTATCCATGGAGTTTTGTTAGCAAAGGTACTGGAGTGGTTTGATTATTAATTACCCATAAACTCTGTCTTACAGATTTTTCATTTGTCTCATTGCTTCTGAATCATGTTCTCCATCCTTCTCCAATAGACAATATAAATAACAGAGATGTGAAAGTACAGATTAAAAAAGGAATTAGAAACTAAGTAATCTAATCCTAAAACATGAGTGAGTGAAAGAACAAATCATAGAATCAATTAATAACTTCCTTTAGGAGAATTACAACAATGAAAGAACATATAAAAATTTGTGGGATGCACTCAGAGCAGTACTTAGGGGAAACTTAATATCTCTAAATGCTTACATGAATGAAATAGAGAAAGAGGAGATCTATGAATTGGGCATGACATTTTAAAAAGCAGAAAAAGAACAAATGAAAATATCCAATTAAACATGATAATGGAAATCCATAAGTCAAAGGCAAGATTAAGAAAGTTTTTAAAAATCAAACTAATAAATAAAAGGAGGTACTGGTTTTATGAAAATACCAATGAAATAGATAATCCATTAGTTAATTTGATTAGCAAAAAAAGAAGAAAAACAAATTATCAGTCTCAAAAATGAAAAAGTTTATGCATAACCATTGAAGATGAAATTATAGCAATGATTAGGAGTTATTCTGCTGAATCATCTGACAGCAAAACTGACCATCTACATTAATCAGGTGTAAAGGGGAATCAATAGCAAATTAGAGCAGCAAGGAGGAAATTTTCACATCTATGGACAGGAAAACAGGTGATGATGGAACACGCTACAAAGAGAATCACAGAAAATAAAAGGCATGATTGTTTTTCTATATAGGTGAAATATTTTTGCAAAAACAGATTGAATGCATTTCAAATGAGAAGGGTCACAGTTAAGTGAGGGAAAAAAAATCTTTGAAATAAAGTTCTCTAAGGACTGTGGCATATGCAAGATATAGAAGAAACTGATTCCAACTTCTAAGCTTAAAAGCCATTCTCCAATAGGTCAAAGGATATGATCAGGAAGTTTTCAAAGGAAGAAATCCAAGCTATCAAGAGCCCTATGACAAAATTATCCAGATCCCTCATAATGAGAGAAGTGCACAGTAAAACAACTCTCTTCTTTCAGTCTATAAATAATAGAGATCCACAGGTCCAGGGGCAGTCCCACTTTTCTGTTCAACAACAAGGTACACGGAAACACCCCTTTTACCAGCTGCAGCTTGAAACCAGAACAAAAAATAAATATACCATCAAAGGGCACCAAACAAAAGATATGATATGTAGAAGGGGAATAGAAGAGTTCCTAGACTTTCTCCTCTCTCCCCAGCCCTAAGGCCAAGTCAAGGATGGGAGGAAGGGAGGAAAAAGGAATTGAAAAATCCACCTGAAGGGGGGAGGGAGGGAATGTTCCATAAGTCTTCTCTCTGTTGGCTTCCAAGGCACCCTTATCCCATCTCATGATCACCAAGCCCTTAACCCTCCCCACAGAGACCCGGTCAGATAGAAAGCCCCAGGCAGAAACAGCCTGGAAATAGCAGGCCAACACATGTTCACCCCTGAACACACACACCGATATAAATTCAGACACCAACACAGACACTCACTGTTACAGAACATCTTACCAATATACACATCTCAAGCATAAACAAATGTGTTGATACTCCCAGGACCTTCCACCCACCCTTACACACATCCCTCTGAGCGTGAAGAGAAGCCAATTGGGGAGGGGTGTGCTTCATGAATAGGGGAGGGGGGGAAGGGAAGAGAAGACAAGGAGAAGAAAAGGAGTGGCTGAGGCAGGTGGAAAGGGGGGTGTACTTACCTCACAGAGCCATTTAGGCACCCACAGGACCCTCATGGTCTGTCAGACTGGAAGATGGGTTTAAGATGGGAGTAAGGGAGGGGACGGGTGTGGGAGGAGTTGAAAGCAGGTGGGTGAGGGGCACACAGACCTGGAGCTGCTAGTACAGCACTCACATCCTCTTCCAGACATAAGGAAGATGTCCTGAATAGAAAGTGGGAGGGGGCGGACATTGTGACGTGACTGCAGGGCGGGGATCGTCTCTTCCTAGAGCAGAGAGGGAAGCGAAGAGGGAGGGGAGGAGGCTTTGTGACAGAGCAGCAGAGTGCCCCTCCCGGTCGTTTCTTTCAGCCTCCGTCACCCAAACGGGCTAGAGGAAGGGGCCGCAGTGCATCCTCCACCTGGAAGTGGACCAGTGGCAGACCAAGGTCCCAGGTTCCTGAGCACAGTCTGCTGGGGCTGGGAGTGGGGGGCAGCAACTGAGCTCAGCTTGGGGTTGTGGGAGGGGTCGCCGCTTTACAGAAACTGGGAGCGGGAGTAGAAAAAAGAGAAAGGGGATTTCGAGGTAGGGGTGTCCTGGGCTCCACAAAAAGGAAGCGAACGTTAGCTGCAGCAGCATCTGCAAACCAGCAGCCCCTCAATGGGACTTGGATGCTTCACAACCCACAAAGCAGAGGACGAAAAGCGAGGGCTGGGGAAGGGGCGGGTCTCAGCCTCCTTTCTCCAGGAAGGAGGATACAAAGATCAGACCGGGCAGGGCGGGACAGGGGGGTACCCAGAGAGGGAGAGCGTCTGCCCTCGCTGTTTATATCTGGGTACCTTGGTCTACATCCTATACGATATAACCCTTCTAGTGTCTTGACAAGTGGGAGCCACACCCTTCTGTCTGCCTTAGTCTCCTCCACAGGACTCCATATGAGAGGGATATTTTCAGTACGCTGGACAAAAGCAATCGCAGGGATGAGAACCCCAAGCCAGATCAATTCTTTGCAGGGGACAGATCCATGGAGCTGTGCTCTTGGGCCCAGCACACATTTGCTAGGAGGGAACCATTTGATGAGCAATTAAAGGAATAGAAAGATTCCCTCATCTCCAGCCCTGTGCAGGAACTGCTAGAGAATGCAATTGCCTCATGGGAGGGACACTGGAGCTGGACTGAGGAAGTTCCTCAAGGCTGGCATGTCAATGACCTCCTTGAGGGAATGGCCTATGCACAGAGTAGCAAAGGAGAGTCAGGGATTGCAATAAGATACTATGGAGGTGTCTGTTTGCAAGAGAATATAGAGGACAAGAGGCAGGTGAATGTAGTAGTATAGGGAGGACCTTGGAAATCAGTGCAAGATATGTGGGACTATGGTTGAGAGGAGAGGGTGGATTGAGAGGGACAGTGGAGAAAATGAGAGACTCTGTTGGGTATTAGATGTGTGGCCTAAAGGTTGTGAGGTGTCCCTGTACCACCAAGGTACAGCAAATGCCACCAAACACCATATGCCAAGTTCTATACCCAGCTATAACATTTTCCCTCTGAAGAGTAAACTTAAGCAAAGTGAGATAGTCATGTCTGTGATATTATGTGATGGATACTGAAAGATCCTCTTGCCCTTAAATATCAAGGTACAAATATTTATTAAAACCTACTGTGTACCAGACACTGTGCTAGGTACTAGGGATACCAAAAAAACCCAAAACAACTATCTCCTTCCTTTGAGGAGTATATATTCTATCATGGAAGACAAAATATACATACATGCATATATTCATACTATATACATACACACATATATATGTTAATAGATATATATACCTACACATATAATGTGTATGAGAGAGTGTCAGTCTATGTTTCTGTGACTTTATGTCTGTGTCTGTACACAATATATTAATTTTATATTTACAAATTATATAGAAAGTAGAACACAAATAATTTCATGGGAAAGGCTCCAACAGCTGGAGAGGGACAGGAAAGTTCCCAGTAAGAGCATGGATAGCCTATTACCTCCTTCTTCTTAGAATCCAGGCCTCTCTGAACCTAGAACAAGAGTCCATTTGTGTTCTTTTTATTGCGATATCATACTTCTGCCTCATATTGAGCTTGCAGTCCACTAAACCCTCTGAATATTTTTTTGTAAATAAATCACCACATAACTATACTTCCCTCCATCTTATACTTGTAGAGTTGACTTCTTAAACCCAGGTGCAAGAGTTTATATCTGTCCCAATTAAATTTCATGTTATTAGATTCTGAACAATTCTTTAACCTGTCCAGATATTTTGGATCTTGACTCTGTCACCCAATTTGGAGTAATCTGCAAATGTGATAAGGGTGTCATTGCCCTTTGTCCAAGACATTAATAAAAATATTAAACAGCAAAGGGTCAATGACAAACCTTTTGGGCACTCTACTAGAGACTTCCTTCTCATGTTTTACTCCCTTTTACACCAATCATTCAAGCAATTCCAGGTCTAATCTGACTATCATCTGGGCCACATCTCCACACCATTTCTAAAAAAAAGAGCACTAAATAATTTATCAGGTTTTTTTGCAGAAATCTGTGTAAACTGTAGCTGCCACATTCTCCTGGTTGACCACTTTAGCAGCCCTGTCAAAAATAGAAATGAACTTATTCTGGCTTGACCTATATTAGATGAAGTCATACTGATTTTTTCTCTTCACCGTTCACTTTCCTAGATATTCACTAGTCTTTTCTTTAATAACAGGCAGCATCTGTGACACCTCTTCTTCCATTTAGGGTTCCCAGAATATCTGACCCATTTTGAAGATACTCTATGTGTATGCAAGGCCCACAAAATGAGAGCTCAAGAGATCCCTTTTTCTCTACTCCATCAAAGGATACAAATTTTTCAAAAGCAAAGGCATTTAATGAAATAGCAGAGTAAGATCCACAATACAACATTCCCCCATAATATGCATAGAGCCCAGTCTACCCCAAGACATTCATCCCTACCACCCGCTCCCTATGGAACAGGCAAGCCAGTCAAGCTAAAACATGGAAGCATCCGGAGGGAAAGATTAGAGGTGGGAGGTGGTTTGCCTCCTCTTTCTGCTATCACTGAAACTAAGGGAATAGTGCATTAGCCTAAAGACCACCAGTGCTGCACACATATCCACAGAAGTGTTCAAGGAGAGCTCAGCTCAGCTCCACATGCGGTCTGCTTCAGGCCCAGTAAACAGCTTTTTAAAACCCTGGGTGGTCCTCAGATTTCCTCGTCAGCCTTGGTTCACATAATTTGCACAAAACTTGATAGAAGGGACTATAGTAGCCATCTTGTCCAATCTATACATGAAAGGAATTCTCAGAGAAACATAGATGACAGACTGTCATCTAGCTCTTCCTTGGTTCTCCTCCAAAGAGAGGGAACCCACCATTTCTTCAAGGCAAGTCACTGCACTTTGGGAGAATTTTCATTTTCATGAAATTTTTTTCTGCTGTCCTGCCTAAATTGATGGGGAAATGGGACACTTATTTGTGTACTGTTGGAGGAGTTGTCAAATGATTCACCCATTCTGGAAAGCAATTTGGATCTATGCCCAAAGGGTGACCAAACTGTGTATATAGCAATAACACTACTTGATCTATATCCCAAAGAGAACATAAAATAGAGAAAAGGACTTACACGTGCAAACATATTTGTAGCAGCCTGATTTGTACTGGAAAAATATTGCAAATTGTGGGGATGTGCATCATTTGGGGAATGAAGCAGGGATCCTGAGTAGCTGTATTGATTGTAGTCCCAAGGGATCAGAGTTTCTTCCTGGGGAAGAGCCACAGCACAGACCAGGAGAGCAGTGACCACACCTAGCCTAACACCATGTTACCTTGCAACCACTCAAAAATTCTAAACTCCTAGAACTAACTTTAAAAATAGTGGCATGAAAAAGGCTGAAGTGTCAAGACATTGCATTTCCCCACTGTTCTGACTTGGAAACAGAGACCAACATTAACATTAATATAAAATCAACAATAAAGTGGGGAAATGAGTAAAAGAAAATCTGAGCATGAAAAGTTACAGTGGGGACAAGGAAAATCAAGACACAAATAGAGGTAGCAATCACGATCTCAGACAGAACAAAAGCAAAAACAGATCCAATTCAAAGAGATAAGCAAGGAAACTACAGCTTGCTATGAAGTATCTTAATAAAATAATGTAATAGTAATTTTAAACACATATACATCAAATGACAGAGCATCCAACTTCTTAATGGAAAAGTTAAATGACTTACAAAAGAAAATGGTTACACTAAATTAATGGGTGACTCCCAATTTCCCATCTTAGAGTTAGGCAAATGTTTGTATAAAATAAATGAGAAAAAAGTTAAAAAGATGAATACTATCTCTTAAAAATGGATATTATATACCTCTGGAGAAAACTGAGTGGAAATAAAAAGGAATATAATTTTTTTTTCTTCTCTGTACATGGGACCTTTGCAAAAACCCACTGTTTATTAAGGCAGGAAAACCTTATAACCAAATAGAGTAAAACAGAAAATTTAAATACACCCTTAGAGACCAGAGTCATAAAAATGACATTCAGTAAATGGAGTAGAAAGAGATTCAAAATTAACCAAAACTAAATAATCTAATCCTAAAGAATGAGTGGTTCAAAGAACAAATCACAGAAAACATTAATTTCATTAAAGAGAATGCCAACAACGAGACAACATAACAAAAATTATGTCATGCAACCAAACAATAATTAGGGAAATTGTCTTTCTATAAATGCTTAAATCAATAAAACAGAAAAAGAGCAGATCAAGGAACTAGGACTGAAATTAAAAAAAAAAACTAGAAAAAGAAGAAATGAAAAATCTCCAATTAAATATCAAAATGGAAAACCTGAAAAGCAAAAGTGAGATTAATAACATTGAAAGTGAAATTAAACTAATAAATAAAACTAATACTTGGTTTTATGAAAAAAAGTAATAAAATAGATTAACCATCAAGTATTTGATTTTGAAAAAGGAAGTAAGCCAAATTGCCTTTCTTGAAAATGAAAAGGATGCATAACCAATGAGGATGAAATTAAATTAATTATTAGGAGGTATTCTGCGTAATCATATGCCAGGTAAACTGGAAATCTAATTAAATGGATAAATATTTACAAATGTATGCATACATATATGTATATATGTGTACTTACACACACATATAACACATGTAAACAGAAGAGAAAATACAATCCTTAAATAACACTATCTTAACAAAAGAAATTGAACAAGGCATAAATGAGTTCCCTCAAACAAAATCCCAAGGACCAGATAGATTTTTAATTTAATTCTGCCCAACATCTAAAGAACAACTTAGCTCAATGCTATATAAACTCTTTGAAAAAATAGATAAAGAAGAGGTCCCATCAATTTTCTTTTATAGCAACAAATGTGGTTTTCATTCCTAAACAAGAGACAGCAAAAACAAAGAAAAAATTGTAGACCAATTTCCTTAATAAATAGCAATGAAACACTTGAAATAAAATCCTAGAAAGGAAATTATAGTAGTATACCACAAAAATCATACATTATGAGAAGTAGAATTTATCCAAAGAATGCAGGGCTGTTTCAATGTTTGGAAAATTATCAGCATAATTGATCATATCAATAAC